AATTAATCAGGGTTATGTCACATTAAGGCCTTTTTAGCAAATTATGTTTAGCCCAATTAAGGTTCTGATCTTACACACAAGTTAGGTTTACAAGTGATTAATATATAGGCAAATTATTCTTTAATCATCATGGTTAAATCCTTTTTAATTAGGCCACAATCAATTCAATCGCTACCCAAGCCACTCTTGAGCTCATTCATACTATGCTTGGTAGGAGAGAAAAGTATTAAAAAAAAAAAGAAAAGTAGATAAGGAAAAGCTATACTCCTCTTCACTTGGCTAATGAAAAAGAAAAATTAGAGGAGGAGAAAATTGAGGGAAAAAAAAACATGTGACATCTGCATGTTTTTTTCTCTTGAAATATAAGAAGATTTTGGAGAGAAAACTTTACTTTTAAATTTATACATAAATATTTTTCATTTTCCATCTCTTACCTCCCTTTATTTTCATCCTTATATATGGGTGTAGTTTAAAATTTTTAAATTATTGTATATTTAATAATTTTTTAAATAAATAAAATAATTTGGGATAAATATTTTTTTTATTCCATTAGTTCCTGTCCAAAAAATATTTATATTCCATTAGTACGATACAATGACAATTATATAAATAATATGTTAAAATTTTAAGTTTTATTGTATCAAAATATTTTATATAATGAGATTCTTATTATCTATATAAAATTAGTAACTTTTCTCTCTTTTATTTTCTTTTGGTCAGCCAAGCATAAAGAGAAAAGATTACATTCCTCCATTTTCTCTCTCTTCATTTTCTCTTCTTTCATTTTTTTTTTTTTTTGCTTCCCATTTTCTATTGTCAGTCAAGCAATGCATTAGGATTGCCCTCCAATTTTTTTTTTTTTCTTTTTGGAGAAAAGAAACAAAAGCCAATGAACCTCGACATTTTTATAAGAATAAACGAGGCCATGTTTAGAGTCATGTGATTACAAACCAATCAAGATCTGTCCATAAGAAGAAAATTCCTACACTTATTAGGTGGCTCTTTAAAATTTTTGGTATCAAAAATATTTTTATTCGTTTGATGTGTAAACTAGTTCGCACACTGATTCACTTCTTTGGAAAATATAATAGATGAAAACTTGTCAATTAGGCATGAGGAGATCTCTTCCTTTTGATGGTATCGATCCATAGATGATTCTGACTGTGATTACTCGTATGAACCGAATTGCTTCATTTGAATTGCCATGAATTTTGGTATCGAAGTAATTTTCTTCCCAACAAATATTCATGCCTTCCCTTATTTAATAAGGGTGGGTCCAGTCAAGAGATTGATTTTTCATGATATAATGAATTAAGGTTTGAATTTTTTGTAAGAGAGATGTTTATATTTAGTGCTCGCTAGTACATTAAATAAGATTGTCTTTAATATGAGAATATATGTGAGAAAAAAAAAATTGATGCCTTCTAAAATACTTAAAATTTCTGCAGTAGTGATTGAATTATAGTCCAGAAATTTTGTGAATCCATTCTAATTTTCTTGAGAGTCATGATTGACACTTGGCGGGCCACAAGAAGCAGTCTCATTCGAATCCACATAACCAGTTAGCCTCGTCATTTACTTGCAAAGTCTCTCTCGGTTTGTTTGTTTTTTTTTTTTTGAAATAAAACAACTTTTAATTAAAGAAAATTAAGGAGTACAATAAAACAACTTTTAATTACAAGTATAGTTGTTCCAAGAAAGAAAAAATGATAACAACTCAAATAAATTTTGATTAACCAAACTGTGCATCCGAATTGAAGGTGAAAGGTTGAAGATCAGCTGCTGATTATTGATGATAGTGAGTAACTCTGGTTGAAAGCAATGGTTAAAAAATTAAATTAAACTAAATGATTGGACCGTCGATTAGAGCTGTTAATAGCTCATTTTGGACTAAAAAACTATTTTAATGATTGAATTGGATTGGACTATAATTAAGTTACTATTAAACCAAAAATCGGAGTTGAACTGAAAACTAAAATAGTTTTTAAAAAATCAGACGGTTTTAAACATAATATTAGAAAAAGCTTAAAAAATTTAAACAAATAGAAAAATTTAAAAATTAAATCCCTACTTTAATTTACATGTATACAATACAGATCATTTTTTATAAAGATGTTAATAGTTATATATGTAAATGCAGATACTTTTAAATGAATTTATATCTAATTTAATTAAGATTCACTTATATTTAATAAGTTATAAAATTATAATTTATAATATTATTAATTTATAGTTATATTATGTCATTTTATTAATATAATATATATTTTGTTATATTTATTGTATATATACATTTAATATATTTTTATTTAATCGTTACATTATTGATACAATCATTGATCTAATCCATTTGATCATAAAAAAAAATTGCTAGTTTTTTTAATTTAACGTCTGGCATTTAAAACATTGGTTGAAGGCCATACAAAATGAATGCTTGAATTCAAATCAAAACGGATATTGAGAGAACTTTTTGGAATTCTTCAATAAGCTCGCTCACGTTTGTTTTCTTGATTTGTTTGTCACTATCAATGGCCCAATAATGACACCCCTAGCCCCCTGAAAAACTTTTTTGGGCTACCATTAGCCCTTAAAAACATTAATCCCGACCCAAAGCAAATTATATTCCCAAAAAAAGTCTTGACTTATTGGGCTTACTACGTTTGTCTATCTTTTGGCCCATTGGAAATACGCCTTTTCAGGAAAAAAAATGCTCAGGCCAAAAAAGGAATGTATACATATACACAGGAAAAAGAAATTAGAAAATCTGAAAATGAAAAGGAAGAATGGCATTAAGGCCTTAAAAAAGAATTTATTGCAATTAAGCCTAAATAAATTTGATATTACTTTGCAAGCTTTGGTGCTTTAATTATAATATTTCTTCACACCAAAATATAATTTTACTCTTTGTTTGATTTAAATTTAGAACCTGCATGAACCCTTGAAACAACGGAATAGATCATGCATGACATAACGTTCACTATGCACAAAATAATGTTCACGCATGCTTAATAGAAAGTTCATACATTTTGAGTATTTCTCTAGCCTAGGCTCTAACAAAAATGGTTGGGCAGACCATGCATGACACAACATTCACTATGTACCAAACTATGTCCATGCATGCTAACAAAAAGTCCATACATTTTGAATATTTTACTAGCCTAGACTTAACAAAATGACAAGTTAGGCAGACCATGTATGACACAATATCTACTATGCACAAAACAATGTTCATGCATGCTCAATAGAAAATTCATGCCTTTTTAATATTTCACAAGCCAAGACAACAAAAATGACAAATTAGGCAGACCATGCACGACATAATATTTATTATATACAAGATGATGTCCACACATATTCAATAAAAAGTCCATGCATTTTCAATATTAAGAAAGACAATTACATTAGCTATGTAGAATTTCATGTTAGTACTAACCTAGATACTAAAACAAGTACCCACATGAAATTTGACATAATATTTCAAGTATGATATATATAAAAAGCTAATCACTATATCCAAAACATCTAACAATTGATTCTCTATATATAAACACAAAATATTTGTGATTCCTAATTACCCAAAAAATATTACTTAAAAATGCTTTCATATATGTAATTATAGTTGCTTATGTACACAAAAAAGGAACAATGTGATTATTTCTCATGCTGGGTTAGGATTATTGCATGTCTTGCGATTGTGTCCAACCTCTCTGCATCTTAAATAGTGATAAATCTTCTTTTATTAGTCTGCAATAAACAAATTAATCTAGATAAATGTTCACATATAAAAGCTAAACTTTTATTTTACACAACTCAAAGTTTATTTTTACATAATAAATACTACAACGTCTTTGACAGCAAATTTTCTTTATATTCAGAGTCATATTTTATTCAATTCACATGTTAAAGTTCAATATAATAGGCTAACTATCACTATTGTACAACAATTAATTCACTATAAAACTTTTATAGCCAATTTAATGATTTAGCAACCTTTAGTTTATATTAGTAGGTTGGGTTTAACAAAATGCATAAGTAGGCAAATAATGTATAACACAATATCTTCTATATACAATACAAAGTTCATATATTCTCAACTAAAAATTTCATACAATTCTACTTTATTAATAGACTAAGTTTAATAAAATGCTCAAGTTAGACAAATAGTACACAACACAATATCTACTATGTATAACATAAAATTCATATATTTTCACTTGAAAGTCATGTGACTCCAATTTATCATTAGGTTAGGTTTAATCAAATGCACAACTCAACGTTTAACAACAATTCAAAGTTCATTTTTACACAATAAATACTTTAACATTTTTTATAATAAATTTTTTAATATTAGATCATATTTTATTTAGTTCACATATAAAAGTATAATATTATTGTACAACAACTAATTTACTATAAAACTTTCATGACCAAAATGGTTCAGCAATTTTTAGCTCATATCAACAGTATAATCACAAATAAACAAGTAAACTTGCAAGCTTAAACATTTGTGCTTCACATGAGAGACCTATTACAATTTTAACAACTAAATGACACATATGCACTGAATCAAAGGAAGAGAAATAAAATTGAAGATCCTTACCTCTAAATAATAATGATAGAGCCTTTAAGAAATAGATGATATTGCTCAAATAAAGAAGACAAAGAAGATCAACAATGACTAACAATGTGCAAGGAAAGAGATATAAAATCGTGAATTGTGCTTCGTCTATCAACACTCATAACTTCTATATTCATCCACGTGGACAACGATCAACAATGACAGAGCATCAATTGGTGAAATGAGAAAGAAGACAAAACAAAAAAATAGTTAATCGTGCTTCATTTGTCTTGTTCCTTTGAGGATTCACATAGCTTTTTTGATTCAAATCAAATTAAGGATAAAATTATATTTTTAATATAAAAAATATTATAATTGAAATATCAAATTTGTTTAAACTTTATATAAGAAAGTTTGTTTTTTTTGGCTTAATGCCATTTCCCCATATGAAAATCAAGGTGTCAGCACAATTTTCACATCAATAATCTCTTGCTCCCGCCGCTCACGCCTTCTTTGTTCTTCAGTTCTCTACACTTCGCTTCATGGCCACCTCCAGGTATTATATTCCTACAACCCTAACCTCGTGGCTTAAAAATTTTAGTGGTTAGTGCATTGTCATTTTTTCTTTCTTTCCAAACAGCTGGAGTTCTTATCGTGCTGTGATTGTGACTATCTGTCTGTAACTGAATTCACTCTATTTATTTGAATAGGAGGCTTAGGGCATTCAAGCGATGGATGGCATCCCGGGGTTTTGAAGTCAGTGATGGCCTGGAGTTCGTAGACGATCCAGAAAATGGAATTGCGGTGAGAGCTTTGCGCCTATTGAAGGAAGGCGACGTTGTTGCCAGAATACCAAAGGATGCTTGCCTGACGGTTAAGACTAGTGGGGCGCGTCAAATGATTGAAGACGCTGATTTGGCTGGTAATCTGGGAGTAGCAGTGGCTCTGATGTATGAGAGAAGCTTGGGCGAGGAGTCACCCTGGACCGGCTACCTTCAGCTTTTGCCTCACCAAGAGTGCCTGCCATTAGTGTGGACTCTGAACGAAGTAAACGAGCTTTTGAGTGGAACTGAGCTACATAAGGTAATAATGATTGTTGTTTGGTATGGACTATTGTAGGGATAATTTGGCCATATAGAACGATATCCGTTGATGATGGTGTTGCGCTAATTAATAATTAATTGCTCAAATTTATCGTGTGGAAAATGGCAAGATAAAGTTTGTTTTGTTTTGTTTTTGTTTTTTGTTTTTTTTTGGTTTTAGTTTCATGAGTTTTCTAGGCTTTGTATTTTTTCTTCCCTTGACATGTGTTTCTAGGATCACATTGGGACCTGCATTTTTTCTGTGTATTAAGACTTGTCAAACTACTTTTAAATGCTAAATTCTGTTCATCTGTTGCTGTGATGAAATTTTCTGATTTCTAGGCAGACAGTGCAAGAGGACAAAGCTCTTATGTATGAGGACTGGAAAGAGAATATTCTGCCGGTATTGGATTTTGCACCTTCAAAGCTTAACCCAAAATTTTTTGGTGTAGAAGAATATTTTGCTGCAAGAAGTCTTGTTGCTTCGCGATCTTTTGAGATAGATGATTACCATGGATTCGGCATGGTTCCCTTGGCAGACCTGTGAGTAAAACCTTTGATGATGTCCTCTATATGTCTTGCAGTTGTGTCTAATTTAGCATACTAGGATCTATTGTAGCATTCCTTTAAGTGATAGATTCACCCAAATCTATTCTTGTTTCCTATAATATGCTTGTCTGCGGTGACGGGTTGCAGACTTGCATGTTCAAATATCTTCCTAACCTCCACTAAAACAATAAGAAGAATGATAACAATAATAACAAGCCTCATCCTGCTATGTGTGGCCTAACCTCCACTAACCAACACATAATTTATATCCACAACTATTTAAGCGGTTAAGGATAACGTGTGGAATTATGGGGTTATGATGTCTTCCATAATTGATTGTATCTCTACTTGTTTTTGTCATCTAAAGTTCATTAGCAATGCTTGCTTCTTGTTATTTTGTGCCTTTAACATGGCCTTGCCTTCTTAAGATGTTAAATTCATTTGAATAAAGGAACTCCAAATCTGTCATATGGCATTGTCATGTTAGAATGCCATTTAGACTTCCTTTTTAGTGAGGAGCAAGCAAAGTTGAATCAATGATACTTGATGCTAGACATGCACTTATTTTATTTTGTTTTTAATTGAAAATTTTGTTTAAGTGATTTCAATATTTTAAATAATCTTATAAGTTGGTTTTATTTCTACTTTTCTGTATTCTAACTAAATCAACTGCAAATTTTAAATTCAAAGTAATTGTACACTAACTATTTATTGTTTATTTCATTTCATTTGAAAAATAGTTACTTTTCAAATTCTAAGTCCCAGAATAACTTCAAAAATAAAATAAAATTAAATACTAATTGTAAATAAGCCTCTTTTTTGTTCAGATATGAAAGTTGAAGGCACTGAAAGACTTCAAAGTGTTATGTACTCGGAATTATTATCGTTTGTTTTTGTTCACTAAGTTTAAGGTTACATTGGTTGAAATACCTAACCAGGTTAAATACTAAAGAATTTTAAATGTTTTATACAAAAACTGGAGTGGGTCTTGTGCGTTTGTATAGATTCCTAAATATGCCTCCTATTCATAATCTATGAATAGCGTGGCTTCTTTTGCTTTTTGTATTTTGTATTAAATGATTAAGCATTAATAACTCCTTACAACTTAATTTTTTTCTGGCCTTTCAAGCTTCTTGCTATGAAGATCATAGTTAGGGAAAACTTGTGTACCTTCAACAACATAATTTGAGACTTTATAGTAACACATTTATATTTTATAAAGAAATAGTCATGCACAAAGCTGCCTATCTTTTCTTTAGCTTCAGCTCAAGTGCATGGACTACCTGTGTAGTGTGTACTGCACTGCCCAAAGGCCTGCAAGTCACATGGCCGGTGTGATCACCTGGCCTGGTGGAGTGGTGCACTGGATGCCATCACAGAGCTATGTGAAATAACACAGGGGGCCCTTCCTGAAACTTCCGTGAAATTTAGGATGCTGTTTCGATACCTTCACTGGTAACTATGAAATTTGGTAACTTGCACAACCTAATTTAACCCAAATTCCTGCCAAAAACTTTGTCATTTGACCCTGCAGCTTACTTTATTTTTGAAACTTCCCAGTTTTGCTTTATCATCTAAACTAGCACTGGTTGCGCCTTAGTTGAGCATGCAAACGGAGCCAGTGTAGACTGAAATTTTACATGCTACTCCACATACATTTAATCTCTTTCTCATAAAAATTTCAAGACCAAATGACAAGATTTGGCCCCTTTTCCTAGGTGATTTAACGTTGTTTTGGCACCAAAGCCAAATCAAGTTTTTGATAATTTGAGGTAACTTGCACATCCTGTTTGTAGTTGAAGTTCTTCATACATAAATGAATAAAAGTGAACTACATTATATAAATTTCTGATGCCAGGAATCTAGCATCTTAAGAAGTAACTTTTCACCAACTATATTGCTCAACTATACTGCATGTTACAATACACATTTACATACAAAATATACTTGTATTCATAAAATCCTATTATACGAGTATAAAAAACTGACATCCTAACGTTTCAACTATCTAACCAGTAACGTTCTTCTCCTTGCCTTTCTGAGAGCTTTCACCTGTAATAGCTAGTAAAAAAATTGAATGAAATAATAATCTCAGTGGTTAGTAATATTTGCAAAGAATTTAAACTAATACAGAAAACGAATTCAGTCTGCAAGTTATTCTGATTCAGCTTCCCTGTCTGGTAACATTGGCTATGGCTCTAAGACCACATATAACTATGCATAATTATAACCAAATTCACACATAGCGAGACTATATCCATTCCGGTGAGGAAATTCAACAATAAGTACAACAGGACTGAAAAAGTAACCACCTCTATCAATCAAGGTTCCAATTAAATTATGCAACTTTCACTTTCTCTAACCTCATCTACAGAGACTTAATTCTATTTTAAGTAGACAAAGCCTTGTCAATGAGAATTCATGCAAAAATTACGTATCAAGCTTGACTAAAATTCTTAACTTTACACACTGAATTCAAATCTCAACGCTTAGGTAAACGTTCTTGGCTCCTAACTCCCTAATACCCATTTCATAGCTTCCAAAGTTCTAATATTTTCTGCAAATTTTGGCTAACAAGAAGGAAATACTATGAGTTCAAATCCACAGCTTTCTAAAGAAAAGTTTGATTAGAGTGGTCACCTTTAAAGTTCTTGCGTGTCAGATTATCCTTTAATTCTACCTAGAAATTTTCCCAACTCCATAGACAAAGTCTAGAATTTAGAAGAAAGATTTATAGCATTAGAAAATATACAGAATTTCCTACATAACTAGCTGTTCTTATTCTATGACCTTATTTTCTCATAACTATACTGAGGCTACCATGGCTTGTGAATTACATTTTTTATTATAATTTAGCTGTCAAAATTCATGGTAATGTGATTGAATGGCATTTCTTTATACTTTTTTCCTGGATGGCCTCAGCAGTGTACTAAAATGACAATGGTTTATTTTCTGAGATATTCCCTGGGTGCATGGGAATGTCACCCCACTCCACGTGGGTGCAGATTGTGCATTATGAAGATATTTGTGTTCTAAGCATTTGCAAGGGGAAAATGATAATTAAGTAGAAACCGTACACTACATTCAATTGCCCTCATGATTTACGTAGATGAACTTGAACCCTGAAAACTTATGAGATGATCATATGATGAACAAAAATGAGATAATGCTTTCCATTCATCTATTAACAAGGAAGAGGTCAATACATGGAATGGAGAGATGAGAAACAAGCATGCTATTCACCCCTGATAGGGCACCACTAGTCACATACAGTAGAAAAAAAGGGGATCTTGACTGACTTGGAGCTCAAATATTTATGCTATATTTTATTTAATTATTTCAGTTGTTTATTTTGTTGAACGTGTCCTAGCTTTCAAGAGGCAGTTATTATTTTATTAAGTCTGTTTGAGTTAGTTTGTCCACTAAGTCTGAAATTCAGGAAAGTGGGTAGCCTAATGTCTTCAGTTAATTTTCAGCCTATTTATATGGCCTGCTCGTCTGTAGAGAGCATTCAGAATTAATTTAAGTCTTTTTTTAGTCCTTGGAGATTCTCCTTGACTTGGCTACTATTTTCTTTGAGTGAGATACTTAGAGAGAGTTGGTAGATTAATTCTCTTGTTACCGTTGAACCTACCATTCCCCAAATAATCAGCCTAGAATCATGGGCTAAATGAATCGGAACAAAAGAAATAAAAAACTCGCTGAAGACTAGGGAAGAATATACAGATTTAATTACCGAATAATATCATTCTAGAAAAGGAAATATTCTATAGAAAATAATCCCCCAACACATGGAAATTTTTGTGTGCTTTCTGTGCAACCATTAAACCTACTTACAATCTGTTACTACTATGAACTGTAAATAATTGAAGTGTGGTGGCTCCATGGATGCATGTAAGCCATCTTCTTATCAATCATTAATCTCATTGATAACCGTTTAACGAAGAAGAAAATTATCATTATGCATATGGCAATATATGTGTTAGCAGGAATTGAAGATTGCCAAATCCTTCCTATTTTAATGATCTTTTGTGATCTCCTTTGAATTTCAGATTCAATCATAAAACAGATGCCGAGGATGTGCATTTCACTGCTGTATCGTCAAACTATGAATCTGACAATGATGTTGATGGAAATGAGTGTGTCACTGATGAAGAATTGGCTGAAAATTCTTCTATAGATGAGACTGAGTTGGGTACAGCTCTTATTGGGAAATGCAGTGGTAGCAACTTGGAGTCATCTTCAGTTGTGGGAGATGATCCTTCAATGTTGGAGATGATTATGATAAAAAATGTCAGCATTGGAGCTGAGGTAAGAAAATTCATTTCTGTTTTTTTTTGATATATGTGGCTTCATTTCACCTTCTTTATAAATGGTTCATTTTGCATAATTTCACGAAGATGACCCACAATAGTTTGCATCCATTCATTCCTTTTTTTTTTTTTTGGATAGTTTTGGAAATATGGTTATGATTTCTTGTTACAGTAAAAGGGCATGGGGGTGGAGAAAGTAAGGAAATGTTTTGTAGGATAAAGATGGATAAATTGATGGGTTCTCAAGTTATTATTTTGTATACAGTTCATTCTAACAAAACCAAGAGAAATGTTTTGTTTAGAAAGGAAAGTGAAGTGAAAAATAATAATTGCTCCAAATGACAGTAGTGTTCTATATCGAACGACCTTCTATTTTGAAATTATTCTGATGAATTGCATGGCCAAAAAAGTCAAACCTTGCAGTCCTCAGTTCTTCCAATAATTTTAAAATTTAAGATCTTTTAGTATAAAAATTTGAATGTGAATAAATTTCAAAAGTTTTCCTAACTTTACCAAACATATTCTTTAAGCCACGTTTGGTTGATCGCAAAAAAGACTAGAGAAAGGAGTGAAAACAAGATTGCCATGGCAAGTGTCTTTGCTGCATTATTTAATTTTGGTTCCACTCCTTTGGGATTGTCCTTTCAATTATTTGAAGTAATCATGATTCAATCCAGCAAATTTTGGAATCAGGCTTAATCTCTGGAAAGTTTCTATAAATTGACTAAATAAAATGCCCATCCATTTTGCTACTTGCTAATGGTTTTTAGGTTTAGTACATTCTCAGTTACATACATTGACGCTCCTTTGATCTAGATTATTTCTTATTTATAATTTAAAAATTATTTGGTATTCATAAGATTATCTGTTAGTGATAATGTTAAAAGTGATTATTATGTAACTAATATTTTGAAAATATTTTTACAAATTAACTAAATCAAAATTTAATATTTTAATATTGTTTTGTTCAAGGCATGCAAAAAAATGTTTTTAATTAATTGGTAAATTGATAGTGAATATTTTAGTATATTATATACAAGGGATACTATGGTTTTAAATTGATTTTTCTTTTCATTCTTACATTTTCATCCTTAACTCAAATTTGGAACAACATTAACATATCAAACACAATCATTTTATTTCATCAAAGTTTACTTTCATTTTCATTCTCATTTCTGTTATCATTAAAAAATTCCACAAAACACATGGGGTTGCTTCACTGTTCTTCTATTCCGTTCCATAGGTATTATAGCACTAATGGATCTCTTCTTCCTATCAGGTATTCAACACTTATGGGTCAATGGGCAATGCTGCTTTACTTCATAGATATGGATTTACTGAGCAAGATAACTGCTATGATATTGTGAACATTGATTTGGAACTGGTGCTTCAGTGGTGTTCTTCTTTGTTTTCAGCTCGATATGCTCGAGCAAGAGTCTCTCTCTGGAGAAGGCTGGGCTATTCGGCATGTGTCAGCCAAAACTCAGAATATTTTGAGATATCATCTAATGGAGAACCACAGACTGAACTCCTGATGTTATTGTACATTATTTTATTATCAGAAGATGCACACCATAAGTTAGACATATCAGTGTCGATTGCAGGAAATATTCATGAATCAAGTGAAACTTCTCTTTCAGGAGACTGCAATATCTTGACAAAGAAAACATATGATATGAGTAGGAAATCCTTGCTGACTAGGAAAGTTTGTGGTGCTTTGTTGTCTGTTGCTGATATGCGTGAAAGTCTTTATGGTCTGAACTCAATAGAAGATGATATTGAGACATTAGGGAGGTGTGATTGTGTTAGAGAAAGAAAGTTGTTCCATTCTTTGGTGCTGCGCGTTGGTGAAAGGAAGATCCTTGAAAAGCTCAGAAATTTTGCCGCCCAGCCATTTAGAACTGGTAAACGAAATTCTGCAAGGAAGAAAATGAAAAGCAGAAGAAAGTAAAATTCTTAACTTTTCTTGCAGTGTTTCTTCTATTTTATTTTGCTACATTTGACATCATGAGAGGAGCAAAGCTGCCTCACATTTTGTGGCTTGTTTGATTTACTCTTTTCTTTTGCTTTTTTTTCTTCTTCAAGGGAATGTTTTGTTCTGGTATTGTTTTTTTTTTGCCTCACATTGTGCTCTTACAACTAGAATAGAACTAGCTATTATCCTTGCATCGAATTGGGGAAAATACAAAATTCAGGCAATTCAAATTTCAAAATGTTGTGAACTGGTGTGGTAGCTAGGTCATGGTATCCACATGATTTTATAAATATATACTCTCTCTTTTAAAAAATATAAGGCATTTTTTGAGGAGTTGAATGTTAAAAAATGTAAGACATTTTTAGCCTTTCAAATTATAATCATTGCATTTTTTCTAAAATTATTCCTATTGATAATGACTTTATATTTATTGTAGGGTGTTTAATAAAGGTAAATATGAAAAGATAGGGCTAGTTGAATGATAGGTAATTATTTTATTAGGGGTGAGATTTGGTTAAAAATATCTTATATTTTTAAATGGAGGGAGTAAAGTTTAAACTTCTAGGCATATATAGACAGACCAGATATTACCTCCTGGATGAAGCACATGATAAATAATTTAAAAAATTGTATTTGTCTTCCTAAATTTTGAACCTTAAATATGTGAATGAGTATTGAAAGAATGATAATAAAATTGAGCAAATTGCTCAACATAAATACATAATATGTGAAGAAAGAATTTTAGCAAATGCGCGCACAAAGAAAGAATGAAATGATAAAAATTATGAAAATTATGATTTAATAATGTATCCGTACTGATCAACCCAATGAAAGTTGATTATTAAATTATGTTAATACCCGAATGGCTTTTCAAAGTTATATTTACATGAAATTAGAAAAGTAGGATTGACGCATGATAGGTTAAAAAATAAAAATAGATAAGTGACAATTGATAAAATTAAAACAAAATTAATGAACGGGCCTCACATCCCTTGAAAAAAGACAAGGGGAACAAGAATGATCATATAAATACAAACAGAGGAACTAAAGTAATTATAAAAAAAAAATTCAATTTGTTAGCAAATTTTAAGAAAACCAAGCCACTCATGAAATTGGTCGATACAATGGTTCGCAATTTAATGATCAAATTATGATATAAACTGTGATTTAGCTAGTCATGAATAGATGTTCTAAACAATATATGTTTAAAATAAAAATAAATTACTATATATAGTAATAAAAACATGTGTAACTTACCAAGAGGGTTTGGGTCTAACGAAATGGATTAGTATCTCATAACATGATAAATTAAGATTTGAATTCTCACTATGAGATGTGCCCACATTGAGTGTCCCACCATGGCTTGAACAAGATTGTCTCCAATAAAAAAGATACCTATAAGGAATCAAAAAACATGAAAATTTCAAATAAAATAATATATAATAAAAAAGATTGTGTTAAGAATATAATGTGAATATGTAGTTTATGGTTTGTAGTTAGCATTTATCAAGCTTGTTAATTTCTCTCGTGTGTGTGTGTATTTACCTATTGTAACTCAAATCATAGAATAGTGATTCATTTTTCCTCTCAATATCTCTTTATGGCATCAGAGCCAGGTTCCTTCCTAAGGCTATGCCTTATTCCCCAACCTCCTTCTATTTTTCTAAAAACCTTAAATCTCTAAAAAAAACACCACTATTCACACCTCTCCCATTTCGGATCCACCTTCATTAGAGCTCCAATGTTGACATGCACCATACCATTAGAATTGCTAGCTACCGATTATCAAAACCTAAAGTTTGACCATCATTCAACATTTTGTCACGCTTCGATCTTTAGGCTAGTTTTAAGTTACTGGTGTGTGAGGGAGCATCCGTCATTGTTTTCTGATATCATTTCCATCACTATGCTCATTGTCATCCATACTTATTGATTTTAAGGCATATTAGTCCTTTTTCCTCTCTATTGCACTTCTTATATTTCTCCTTCATTATCACTGTACGTTTTTCTTACACCTTGTCTTCTTCAAATTCTAAATTAGGTGCTTTTTCTTCGACAAGGGCAAGAGGATCATTTGACTACAAAAGGAATTGATATTCTTGAGGAAAAGCAATTTGCTTGGAAGAAGGTTGATGCTCAACTTTGTTCTCTATGGTGGAATTCTTTTGATTCAAAGCTACTTTCATTTCACCAGTCCTTTGAGACTTGCTTTAAAGCTTGAAACAAGGTTGCTGCTTTATACAGCAATGACATTCACTACTACTTTGAGGTGGCGACCACCCTGGCTCATCTCAAGCATGAGGATATAGATGATATTACCTATGCTAGTTGTATTGAGGCCTTAAGGCAAGAATTTTAATCTTTAATTCTTGCCTCTACAGAAGTTCAGGAACAAGAATGGGACAAGCTCTTCATATTTTTTACTATAGTTGTCAATTAAGGATGATCTCGTTGTGTTGGCCCTTTTAAGCCTAAAAAAGTTTAAGGCTAAGTTGCTTATTTAGGATATAAAATGGTAAATTAGGCCCTTTTAAGCTTGAAAATAAAAGGGCCGGCCCTGCTTAAGTACTCTTACTTTTTTTTAAAATTAATATACAAAAAAGAAGTAAAAAAGTGAAAACCCTAGCCTGCCTCCCTCAGTCCCTCTTAGAGCTCTCATTCATGATTATTTCATGCACAGTGTCAACCCTACGAGGTTGTGAGTTTATGACTTGGGAGTAGTTGCGACAGTGCGACTGCGACTGCAACCTTTCTCCATGTGCTTGTTGTAACATCCTAAGTTTTTTTAATAGTAAATATCAGTATTTTCAAGGGTAATTTGGTCAATTTAGATAAATTATTATTTAGTAAGATTTATGGAGACTAATATAGTTTTTGGATCCTTGGACAGCCTTAGAAGAGGGCTAGGTCGAGGTTCAAGCGAGCCATGGCACGGAAGGAAGTGTAAAATTTCATGAGGCTTTCTATGCCATGTGCCGCGGCAGGGGTGTCAATGTGCCACGGCACACGGGCAAAATCAGCACTTATAAGATCGTGAAAACATATCGAAAACAAAAGAGAGAAGAAGGAAAGATGAGAGAGCAACGGAGGAGAGCTTGTGGTCTGCTAGGGCACGATCCCTAAACTACTTTAAGGGTATTTGGAGCTTGATTTACCATTGAGTAAGTTGTACATTCCTTCTTCTCCCTCTTTTATACATAAATCTGAAAATTTGGGGTAATGGGGGCTTTGATTTTAGTTTCCTTGAGTTTAGATCAAACTTATTAGTTTATTTAAGATCTTATAGAGTTAAATCAAGTTTCTAACCTCAAGTTTATGAGTTTTGTGGTGATTGAGAATTTTTAATAAGGGTTTGGACGAACCCTAAGTATAACTTGAAGATTTTGAGATAATGTGGAACATTGATTCGCAAAGTTGGTGTGTTGGAATGTTTAATAGGATGGTTAAAGTGTGTGGGAATGGTTGGTATTGTTAGAAAAGGAATTTGAGTATTTTAAGCACTTAGAACCTAGTGAATTCAGAGTTATTTGGAGTGATAATTGATGATTGTCACTTATTGATGTAGATTGAGCATTGCTCAAGCCTTATTGTGTATATAAAATGTGTGGAGCTAACATTGAGCCACGATAACCTTTTTTGTGTGATAAAGGGGTTGAGGTAACCATATAATTTATTGTGGTTATTAACTATTATAACTGTGTAGAAGTAATTGCAAATGAGTAGGTTGTGGTTGTGAAGAGTTTTGTGCATAATTTGACATTGTAAATGATTTTTAGTATGAAAAAGTGTTTTGTAAATAGTTATTGTATCTAATTGAAATGTATATACTATGTATATAAGTTTGCGATGTTAAAATGCGATGAAAAGTAGTGAAAATTGTGAAAGAACATGATCATAGGGGTGGGAGTTCACCTGAGATATGTAGGAATATGTGTGTGTGGAGATATGTGAGTGAAAAATCCATATAATCGAGCTAACACTATGGGACATCCAATGCAGCATTATATGAGATTGTTACCATGGGACATCTGGACAGTCTAGCAACTCCCTAGTACCCGTTAGGGTGTGGTTAGGAGTCAACGACACCTTTATCACAAGTGTGTGAAGAGGGAAAAATCATAGTCCGTAGGCGGGTTAGATTACATTTGGCCGGGTATTTCTACCACTGAAAGTATGCTCAGGTCAATAAGTAGTTAAACCAGGAGAACTTATGGTTTCATGTCAGGAAGCATTGGAGGTTTGGTGGTTAGATGATCATGCTGGTGTAAAACTATGTGTTTTGTTAAGAAAAGATACGCTTATCTCGTAATTATGGTATGCTTCTTATTACTATGGTTTTGATATTTTTCATGATTATTTGTGGTAATAAATATTTGATGAGCTATATTGGTTACTGAGATGTTTATCTCACCCCATGGTTATATTTTACAGGTGAAGGCTCCCGTAGGGGCAAGGGGAAGGAAGGAATATTTGAAGAGTGAAGAGCATCATTGTATAGCTCTTTTCTTTTCTCTTTTTGTATATTGTAATGAATATTGTTACTAAATATTGCCAACTTAGGAACATGACATTATTTGGATATCACTTGTATGAATTTGTGATAAGTATGTATATTTTGGTCTAAGAATGATGTTATGGATTAATTGTGTGCTTGGCCAAGTTTCTTATAAGTGATATATATATATATATATATTTCAAGTATTTTGAGTGTCAAAATGCCAATTAATTGATATGTTGAATTTTGTTCACCCCCATTGAATTATTGTCTAATGGGGGTTTGGTGGTCATTTTGAGCGTAATTGCTTAATTGTGTGATATGAATGGATTGTTATATAGTGTGTGGTCCATTTGAGGTGATTAATGTGTCTCCAGGGCTAATGACATTGTGTATTGTGAGTTGGACATCATAGTATGTGTTTTGTTGTGAAAACAAACTATTTTGAGTTCTGGTGTCCATCTTTTAAATGGATAATTGTTTAAATATGAGACTGATGCCATTAGCTAGAGGGCTCAAGGAACTTTGTGTGAACACTTGAACTGCTTAAATCGGATGTCGGTTGGCGAAAAGGCGTACTCCAAAAATTTAGAGAAAAGTCATGATAACAGTAG